TCTCATGATGGAGAGGAGCTGACTGGACCGATCCTGCCAGGGGGTGGTGGTGTTAATGTCGATGTGTACTGGGGAAGCAGCCCACGCTCAGTCTGTTTTGCTGTCACACTTTCGTGTTTGTGTGTGATTTCAACATAAATTAGCTCAAATGTGCTTGATAAATGGAACAACGCCAATATAATGTGGTTCATCTGCGCTGCTCCTGGCCTGCCAACATTTTGCACTGGCAAGCATTAGAAGATGCAGGCAAAGTGGAGGAACCCAGCTATATACAGCCCGGTGGGAGAGAGACAGCATTTCCTGTAGCTCCCAGCGACTCCAATCCTTTTGCCTCAGGGAAGTCTCCATGTCCGTGTTAGGAGTACTTGTCAGTCAGGTCTCACTGATCCTGTGCAAGGGGGTGGAGGGGTGGTGGTGTTTCCTTCTTCCTGTAACTCAGAAGACTGTAGTTTCTCTTACATTGACATCTATCAAGTTGTCCTTTCTTCCTGTCTTAAAGGCGAAGTCCTCTATTTTCTCCAGGCTATGTTGTATATTAGGAACTGAACATTCTTCTTAAACCACTGGCATTTTTCACTGAGGTTATTATCTGTCTGGGGTTGTCTGTCTCTTATTTTTCCCATAAGTCTTAATTATTTTTAGTTTGCGATTTTGCAGAAAGCGCGCTTCTTTCCTTCCCCTTAGGAACACATACAACTCATTACTGCAAGAGCACCTGTCTTTTTTCTTTAAAAAAGAAAAAGGAACGATCTGAATAATAGCTAGCTAGGGATGTGCTGACCACATCTGTTTGGCTATAGATCACATAGGTTTTTCTTGCTATTTCAGAGTATCGCCAGAACTCAACCTACTTTCTTACCCTATTCTTGACTAGTTGGAAATGTAAAGAACTTGTAACCAACTAACAGATCCTATTGGGTCAAGACTGGGTGCCTGCTTGGGTTTCTGAATTCGATTTTCAACCCTAGAGAACTAGCACATGCTCTGTCCTTTAGTCTCCAGAAGGAGCCTTCAGGCAAAGCCATATCCATGAACAATGCTGCATAAGCAGATGCTAACACTGTAAAGCATGCAGGATGCAGGCAGCTGGAAAATTGTGCTACAAAAATAAATACCCTGTTTCTGCAAATTGGGCAACTCTCATTAGCCCCAGGAAGCTCGTTTTCATGGTTAAGTAGTTAAGCGGCTGATTAAAGGCACAAGACCATTTAGGCACCTGCTTATTTGTTCATTTTGTTTTTTTGTTCTGCACTTTGGCCAGAAGATGGTGCTCATGGACACACTTTGGCAAAATATCCCTCTCTAGTGCTACAGATTCCACACCTGCTGATGCTCCTTCAGCTGAGAACATAACTTGGATCTTGCAAGGCCGAGAGAAAAGCGATGTGAAAACCAGCTAGCAGTTGAGTGACTAAGAACACAACAACACCTGCCATTTTTTTCATTTAGATTTAAAAATCCAGTTGAGGGGCATGTACAGCTCCAGTGTTGTTACATCACGGCACAAAGTCTTAGTATCTTAAAGTTAAGGGAAAGGCATTAGAAGAGACTCTAGCTTACATTTGGACATGTATTAGAATAGAGAGAGTTTAGCACACCAGAGTGGAGTAGACCTAGATTTCAATCTTGGAGGCAAATACCACTCATAGTAGTTTACACCCTCCAGACAAGTCCTCACATGTTCTCCAGACTTTTTGAGCTATTATGCACCATGCCCACACCTCAGTAATAGAGGAAGAGGTTTCAAAGCCAAAGAATCCATCTATGCATCTTCTAATATGGCTTTTAAGGTGGCTTCTGCTGTTGTTTGAAGAGCTTTTGTTTTTTGGAGTGTGATGGCCAGATCTTACACAGAGAGGCAGACCCAAGTGAGTGGAATTCCTAAACTGTAATCCTACCAGCCATTTATCAATGGCTTGCCATGTGCCGAGGTTTGCGGGTGTTCTCTGAGTGGGTTACCTCATTTCATCTTTATGACACTGGGAGGCTCTTATTCTTATTACTGTGCTTTACAGGTGAGGAAGCAGAGGCTTATGGAGTTGAAATAATTTGCTCAAGGTCAAACAAGAAATAATGATTACAGCTAAAACCAGATCCAGCTGGCTTCTAAGTCCACAGTGTCGACCGCTAGGCTGTCAACCTCTGATCAGCCTTGTTTCTAGAGTCTACCTTCTCATTTCTGCTCAAAACCTTCTCAAGAGCTTTCACAGCCCATGGGATAAAGGTCATGTTACTTAGCCTGACATTTAGGGGGTTTTATGAATTACTTTCAAGTGTTGGCAGATTAAAGAAATGGCAATAATATTTTCAAAGGCTGTGTCTAGGACAGTGGCCTCAAGTGGGTATTGCTTTAGTTGCTGGGGAGTCTTTACTTGCTGCTGTAAGTGAATATTTATTTGCAAATTATTTGCAGGTTTCATTTGCAACCTATGCATTATAAATTATTAAATATTAGGTTATTTCTGATTTGAACACATCCCAAACAGCTTCAAACTTTCCTGCCCATATCTCAGTGGAAGGTCTTATTCAGTAGAAAAATTCCTTTGACACAGACTCCAGGGGCATAGCTTTTCTTTCATGTTGCAAGGTCTGTTTATATCATTTGCCCTCCGAGAGGCCTGGGGACAGCATCATCTGCTTCTCTGGCTTAATTGTCTCCTAAAAAACCCAAAGACAGTGTGTAATTGTTCCAGGAGGAATTACTACTGAGCTTTGATTCTTATAGTGGCATAAAAGTAGTATCAGCATTTGTAACAGAACTCCACAAAGCATGCTTTGCGTGAGTGCTCCTTGTTTCTCGTCATTACTTTATGGTGTTTGCTAAGAAATATGTTTTTACCCCACATAGTCTATGTTTCTTTGAGCCAGTGGATTTTCTGTTCTGCTTGCCTATTCTGTTCTGCATTGATAAACTAGAAATGGAATTCACTGGACACTGAGATCCGGCTAATGTGGTTCTAGTCACCACTGGTATGAAGGCAGATTCTAGATATTTGAATGTTCCTAATGGGGAAAGGACAAGCAATTTTAAAAATCTAAGATCGGTTAAAGGCTCATTACAGTGAAGAATAAATAGAACGAACTTAGATCTGGAGGGAAGAGTGCAGATTAGCAATGCCTTGCATTCACTTTCCCTTGTGCTTTTAAAGAAGTTATTGTTTATCATTCTTTGCATGAGAAAATGGGCTGCTTTTACAGAGGTGCGTTTCTTGGCTTCTTATTTTGTGAACCTCATGTTAGCCATCTTCCCTTAGCAGTCTGAACCCCGGGGTGAAGGGCTCTGCCAGTTTCCAGAACAGGATTGAGACAGAGGCTTAGGGGTCCCTGAGATGGAAGTGGAAGGGCCAAAGTGTGAGAGATGAGTCTGCACATAGGTCAGGTGCTGCCTTAGAGCCTCCTGGGCCGAGAGGAATGCAGGATACAGCTGTGTATGTGGGTGCAATTTCCTTGTTAAGCATTAGACTAATAACCATTGGGTTTGGCAGTTAATTTCATTTTGATATAGTTTAAATATGAAATGTTTGAACACTTTGTCCCTAACTGGTAGCAGCTGCTTTGGACAGTTGTGGACCTTTCATGAGCCAGAGCCTCTATGGAAGAAGTGAGGCGTGAGGTTTTAAACCTGGCCCTGCTTCTTCTTTTTTATGTCCTGACTGTGTTCCTAGTGTATACACCACTTCATGCTCCTGCTGCCATGCTTCCCATCATGATGGTCCATATCCCTTCTTAAACCACGAGCCAAGATAAGCCTTCTTTCCTTAAGTTGCATTAACCAGCGAATTCTGTTACATCACATGCACTTTACTTATATGCCCCGCCCCCCAATCAAAAGCAAGATCTCTCAAAGGTGTATGTTCTGCTCAAAGCACTATTCACAATAGCCTCAAAGAAGGTAGCAACACAAGGGCTCATTGATGGACGAGTGGATGACAGAATGCAGTTTTTTCTGTACCTGCTATGGACCTACCATTCATAGGCAGGAAAGACATTCTGATACATGATGCAGCAAGGGCAAATCCTGAGGTCCTTGCACTCAGTTGAGTGAGCCCATCACTTGAGGACAAGTTCTCATTTACGTCTAAAGTGGTCAGATGCAGAGGCAGAATACTAAATGGTGATTACCAGGTGTGGCTGGGAGTGGAGCGTTACCGTAAAACATGAGTTAAATTTCAATTTGAGGCCCACTCTGATAGCTGGTGGCCACATTTGCACAACAGCATGCTTACACTCAAGGCCACTGAGCTGTTTGCTAAACAACGGATAAGATGATAAATTTTATGTTATGTGTAATTCATCATAATTTGGAGAGACATTGCCACCCACTCATCCCAGGGCAGAACACTTTGCTCAAGTCTGTTTGCTCAACCTGCCACCAAATAGATTGACCCCAAGACCATACCCTAGAAGTCTGCATGGCTACAGGGTGGGTCCAAGATGAATGCTTCTTGAACTGCTAAGCAAGGCAACATGCTTCCTCTCCAAGTGCATAGTCTCTGTCTATGAAGCCCTCCTTCCAGGTGGAGTCCCTTGTTGATCCCCATGGGTAAAAATGGAGGACTGGGGAGAGCAGAGCCCTCTTGAGCAGGGCAGGATAAAAATCAGTTTTGTTTGTATTTCTGCATATCTTTTGTATATCTCTAGGTACTTGGATGCCGTGACATCCAAGGCTAGCCTGGAGAAAGCCATACACAGAGCTGAGGAGATTGAGATTGACCTTCAGCACTTGTAGGCTGAGGTGAGTGTGTGAGTCAGGCAAGGCCTAGAGGCATTCACAAGGTCTTCACACTGAAATTAATGTTGATCTCACTTGTAATAAGCCAGGCCTGATAGTGTGATTGCACATGTATAGTTTCCTGCTGTTCTCATAAGAACTGTACGCAGTTGATACTCCCAATCTCCTTGTTTTAGAAGTGAGAAAACATGACCCAGACTGGGAAAGGAAGTTGTTTAGGCCACACAATGAGGAAGTTACAGAGTCAGGATCTCGGCCCAGACCTTCCGGTTTCCCATTCACGGCCTCAGCAGGGTACCTGAAGCAGAGGTTTCCGGAACACATGATGGACCTTGGAGGTGAGTAAGCCAATTTCCTTCCAAGAACTGCTCAGGTAGAAGTCTTCTCCGGTCATCGTTTTGCCACTGTGGTGGCCTTTTCACACGTGGTACCCTTGTACTGGATATGAAGCTAGCTGTGAGCTCACACTCACTTCCTAGAGAAGAATGACAGTCTGCCCAGCCAGCTCTCCAGTGAGCACATCTTCTGACTTGGGTTTCTTACGTTGAGATTAAATGGGTGCTCTTGGATCTGCTTTGGAAAGCGGCTCTCTGCAGACAGCTTCCTTTGTTGTCAGGATACCTCCTGATACATGCACTTTCCTACATCACTGGTCTGTTTATGGAGTGAGCTTCAGCTTTATTCTAGCTAACTGTTGATGATTGCCTGAAGGTGGATTTTTTTTCCTTTTATTTTTCTCGAGGGATGGGAAAGGGGGGCAGCAGCTGATCCTGCATGATTATAAAAGAACTTGAGACAGGAGGATGTAAACCTCAGCTCTGAGGGACCCTGGACAGTTGCCTATGTCTCTGAGGCTCCATGCTCAGACCCATATTCAGCATAACAAACATTTAAGAAACAGCTTTTGAGACCTTATCAGAAGGGAGTGCTGAATGTTCACAGGGAAATCTTTGCAGTAACTGCTCAAAACCATCTGGATCCAAACATAGAGGAGCTTTCTGGTTGGGCTGAGGTCTTCCAGTTCATGGACACGAAGTGAGAGGCTTCCCCTCTACCCCAGTAGGCTGTGGACAGAGCACATCCCCAGGGGAGTGATGCTTCAGAGGTCGGGACAACCAGCCAGACATCATGATGCAGGCTTTGTGTCTAGGAATGAAGCAGGCTCACTTTTTCCATTGGGACCAGGCAGGGAGAAGAGGAGAGAGAGCCAGTGAACCAAGTGCAGTGTGGTTAGGGCTCTAACCAGGGGCCAGCGAAGGACTGCAGAGAGCTTCACTGACTGCTTTTCTGGAACTTCCCTCTCAGAGGAGATGACATTTGAGTTGGGGCTTAGAGCTTGAGTGGGGGTTCTCTAGAGAGACGGCGTTATTAAAAACATTGCTGGCAGTAGAAAGCAAAGCGGGGAGTCATAGCAGAAGAATTGCTGAAGTTTGAATTTAGACTGTTCCCCGTAGTCCTTAGCTCAGTGCTGTTGAGGGGGTGGTAGAACCTTTAAGAGGTGGGGCCTCTGGGGGATGGGGCTTGGAGGTGATTGTGTAGCACTGGTCTCTTTCTTTAACTTCTCAGACACCATGAGACGAACAGATTTCCCTAACCACAGGACCCCATTGTGATGTGCAGCCTCTCCACAGACCCCAAGGAATGGACAGTGTCCTCTGAAAATGTGAGCCAAAGCTAACACTCTCTTCCTCACAGACTTGATCAGCTGAGGTATTTGTGACAGCTGAAGCACAGGAATTGCTCTCTGCATCCTGTGGCTGGAATACTGAGTTGGAAGCATCCTGACTAAGGGCTGAACATGGCTAATGCTTATTAAATACTTCACTTGGGCCAGGCATTGGGCAAAGAGACCACTGCATGGGTTAGCTAATCCAGTCCTCTCCGTGCTATTATTAACTGTACTTTGCAGAGGTGAGACTGAAGCTTCTAGAAAGGTTAAGGAATTTGTCTGCCATCACCAAACTAGGTGACAAAACCAGAGGCAAAAATCTGGTTCTAGACAACTCCCAAGCTGGCTTTCTAGCCTCTCTCCAAGAGCCTGGAACAAAGTACTGAGTGGTTTGTGTGCTGCTGAGCTGGCATTTCCACTTCCCCTTTGATATGGGGATATCCCCGGGGCCGCACACTGGAAGGAGCAGAGATGAGAACACAGGGACAACAGTCACAGATTCACTCTGTCCCACCTGCAGCACACATGAGCGCCTTCCACCGGGACACATGCACAGTCCTGCTGCTGGCTGAGGCCAAACTTCTCAGGGGCTGTGGATGTGATGGGGGGGGAGCGTGTTATGCTCCTGCTTTGATTTTTCATATTAGAGCATTTTTTGCCTTAGGATCCAGCATGAATCCACCGGGAGCAGGACAACCTGCCGAACGGATCTGTACTGTACATGGTCTCTGCTTACCTGTCCTACAGGACCTGCCTCAGAACCAAAGTTATGTCCTCCTCCCACTCCCACCCCCCAAGCTTATGTTTTCTATTTTGTAAAAGTAACACATGTCATTACTGGAGAAAGATGGAAGAACATGAATATCGATATGTATCAGTTACCCATCGTTATCTTCCAGATGATCTGAAACCTCAAACTATAAAGCAAACTTAAGTTCTCATATGGTTTGAAAATGAGAGATCTGCTGGGAATGGCCTAACTGCCGGTCTCATGAAGCTGCAGCCAGGCTGTGGGCAGAGGCTCTAGACATAGGGCATGGAGGACCTGCTCTGAGAGTTGCTCTGAGGGATGCTGGCTGGGCACTTTGTTCTTACATGTAGACTTCTCCTAAGCATTGTTCAGAACATGACTTCCCTAGTACCCTGTGGCATCGAGTGACCGAACACAGAACTCACAGCTCATCTCCGGTCGATGGTCCATCACGTATACAGTGTTCCATCGGCCACACGCTGGGCTGAGTATGATATCTTAGGGGTGGGATGTTTCTAGCACAATTCATCATCAGTGGTCATCAGTGCCTCCTGTGAAGGTTGCCAACCACAGTGGACACATTAAAAAGTTGCTATAGTGACTTAAGTTTTTACTGTAGTCTTCCTCTTCCTCTCAAAGTATTGCAAATGATAAAAGACGGCTAGGAGACCACAGAGGTGGGAATGCAGTGATAAGTGGTAGGTGTTCTCAACAAACTTCTGACTGCTCTCTTGTGCTCGAGTAGACTTCTGATTGCTTTCTGAGCCTGTGGCGTGCCAAGTGTGTGGCATAGGAAAGAGGAGAGTAATGGCAAAAGATTGAATGTTGTTCTTTTCTTTTATGGGGGATTTATTCCCAGAACACTCTTGGGCTCCTCATCCCAACAGTCTGTTAACAGACTTAAAACTGAGAATGGGCCTCAGTCTAAGTCATCAGATTCCTGTAGTACCCACGCTGACTTCAAGCTTTTTTAAAATTAAAAAAAAATAAATTATGTGTGTATGTGTACATATACATGCATATGAGTGCAGGTGTCTACAGAGGCCAGGGATAGCAGATGCATTACAGGTGGTTGTGACTAGCTATCTGATGCAGGTGCTACAAGAGCAGTATGCATACTTAACCACTGTGCCATCTCTCTAGCCCGGGCTTCAAGCTCTTTATATGGGACAGGATCTCCATGCATATTTCCATTAGCTTTATGGTGAAGACTATTAGATGCTCCATCGTATGAACCATCTGAGGGCTGTGGCTTCTCATGAGGCGCAGTCACCCTGAAGGGATGAATGTTGGTTCTTGACTATATACTTTATGCAGAAAGCAGAGACACATAGCATCTGTAAGCAGCTGCATATTGTGTCTGTGGCATTACAGTTTCACAGGGAAGGTGGTTAGGAGAAGAATGGTTTAAAGGCTGTTTAGGAAAGCAGTAATGGAAAAACAGGTTGAAAAACACTTAAGGTCCTGAAAGGCAAAGAGTAATTACATAAATTACAAAAATATAGTTTTCTTGTTCTGTCCACAAACAGAAGATTTTTTTTAATAGAAGATTTCCATTTAACAGAGATATAAGGGAAAATCAAATGAATCTTGAGACTCTGATTTCAGAACAAGTCACAGATGTTAAACACAGCAAGGGAGCCTCTTAAATAGACTGCATTTGGGGCACTTCATCTATCTGATACTCTGTGGGATATTTTAAATGAAAATATAGAAACACCCCAAATGGTTTTATTAGTACTGGTAATATTCGCTGAATGTGAATTGATGTTAGATATCTGTGATCAATTAGATTTGGTCATTGGCTAATTATATACACTTAAAACATATCCAAGACAAAGACATTCTAGTCAAGCATAGTAATTCAACTAATATTATGATTAAAAATATTCTAATCTTTTATCAGTGCATGGTAGACACATGAAGGAATATTATTTTATTTGTACAGTTTATGAAGAGCTTTGATACAGGTATTTGATGATTTGATCTTCACAAGAGCCCCGCCACGTGGGAATTGCTCTCTATTTTCATTTCAGGCTGAAGGGAAATGAGGTTCAGTCATCTTGAATGATCCATCCAATATGACTTTACCCCAAATTGGCAAGCCAGGTTCTAACACCATTTTCATTGTCCCCTCCTCTGAAGAAGTAAGCCTAACTGTTCTTATGCATTTCAGAGGATGTGGCTCCTTTGGGGCTCTGGAATCTCTAATCTCGGCCTCCAAAGGGAGATAAGTAACTCAGTTGGCAAATCTACTCTCAGGGACTTTCTGCAGTAGCCCCAAATACCTCCTCCAAAGTGGAATTTCTCTCAATACTTGGCAACCACAGCTTCTTATGTATTATGTGGCCGTCTAATCCCAAAAAGCAGTGGTTCTCAACCTCCCTAATGCTGTGGCCCTTTAATACAGTTCCTCATGTTGTGGTGACCCCCAGCCAAAATTATTTTCATTGCTACTTCATAACAGTAATTTTACTACTTTAAAACTTTACTACTGTTATAAATTATAATGTAAATATTTGTGTTTTCTGATGGTTTTAGGCAACCTCTTTGAAAGGGTTGTTTGACTCCCAAAGGGGTCACACCCTATAGATTGAGAACTGCTGCTATATAGCAGTTAGAATGTTAGGGCACAAAATACGATAGTTCTCCAGAACTTTTAACCAAGTAAAGGTGAAAGCCCTGGTCAGAGCCAAGGTTAAGTGCTGAGTTTACCTCCTGTGGCCCATGCTGACCACGTGGTAAGTCAGTGGCCTATCACTTCCATTCTGCTTAATAAATGCTGACTCTCCCACATGTGCTAACTGGTTCAAATCCCACCCTTCACCCTGTATACCCCTGACCCTCACCCCCGCGCACTCCTGGAGCAAAATCACCTTCAGTATTGATTGAATAGGAGAAATAAACTTAAGTTCAACCTTAAAATTATTTTCAAAAATTAAAATAAATTGAAAGACTCAGCTCAGGGTCAGCTATCCCTAAACTTGTAAAAATTACATTTATTTATTTATTTATTTATTTATTTATTTATTTATTTATTTATGATATGTAGGTGGGCACATATGTGCCACAGTATGAGTGTGGATGGCACAGGAAATTTTCTAAGATTCAGTTCTCTTCATCTACTATGTGGGTCTGTGATGTTGGATTCCGGTCATCAGACCTGGAATCAAGCACCTTTTCTCACTGAGTCATCTGGTTAGTCCTTACCCTTAAAATTCTGATGCTGGTTTCAGAATGAGGCTATTACAGTCTCTTATCTTCTATGATGCACGAACTCAATGCTGAAGATTCAGTGCCTGAATGTGGAGATGTTGAGGGGGAGAAGCAGAGATAAGCAAGTGAAGAAGGCAGAAGCTGGAATCAGGAGGTCTGCTTGGGCTGATGACTCACCACAGGAAGCTGATTAAGAAGTATAGCACCTTATATACTAATACAGTGAGGAAAGGGGACAGAGTCGGCAGAAAACTGTCACGCAGTGGGACAGAGTCAGCAGGAAGTTAAGCAAGCAATGTTGCACAAAGACAACAGATGATATCTTAAGCACATCCCAGACCAAGCACACAGGGACTTGGGTCAGATAACCACAGTCCCTTAGGAGGGAAGGAATGGGTTCTCAGGATCCCAAATCACAGCTCTCCCCAAGGCCCTGGCCCCAGGCCATTACTGGCGTTGTTAAGTGTGTTCCTGGTTTAGAGAAGAAACTATGCCCCCCCTCCATACTTGAGGGCCTCAGGGAAAGCCTTGGAGTGGCCTTAGCTCCCAGTGAAAAGGTTCTTCATTTCAGGAGCGAGGCATCTACTTTTCCTTAAACCATAGGTAGTGAAGGTTCGTAAATGAGTTCTATGTTCTGCTTTGGCTTGTCCCAACCATCTCTCACTGACAGCTATTTCCCACTGACAACCATCTCATTGACAACGACCTCTCAGTGATAGCTGTCTCCCATTGACAGCCAACTCTCCTGGACAACCAGCCCTCATTCACTGACAACCAACTCTCATTGACAGCAATCTCCCAGTGTCTTGAGACCAGGTTCTCATAAGTCTTCCTTTCCTTGGTCTCCTCTGCTCTGCACTAGTTTTTGAGACAGTCTCATGTAGTGTAGGATGGCCTCGAACTCTATATAACTGGGTATGAGCTTGAACTCTTGATCTCCCTGCCTCTACCTCTCAAATGCTGGCATTGCAGGCATGGACCTTTTCTCTTTTACATTTTATATCTTGATTTTTATTCTCCTTAATAT